GGTGATGACTTGCCGCTTGGACCTTGAGGTCACCCTCTACTCTCTGCGGGATGTGCTGTGTGCCGGGAATCCCCAGACCGTGGCGAAGAGTTTCAGCATGTTTCAGCTATTGCTGTTGCCATGGCCCCATGGCCTTCACCAAGGCATTTCCCGTGGGGACGTTGGGCACCTGGGGCCTGGAAGCCGAGACTCCAGAGCTGGCCGCTATGCGGAACTATGCTGGCGGATTTCATTTGTGCCTGAAAAATACTGAAAATGGGTTGCATATGGTTGCATGATGTTGTATGATTGTTGTAACTTGCTGTATGGTCTCCTGCCAAAATGACAATCTTAGCAAGGAATTCTGGAAATTGACGATTAGCACGTGGATTTAATAGTGCCATGTACTGTAGCACCCTATTTTCAGACAAACGAGTTTCGGCCAGACTTTCAGCATGCTTCGCTACCCTTGAGGCGGTGGAGGCACAGGTGGCGAAGCCACTGCCCAGCTGGGCCGCAACGAGAGTTGCAGGCAGAGAGGGTCGAGTTGGAATGGCTACAGAGCAGTTTCAATTTATTGAAACCGATATCATCCGATAGCATGTGATTTCATTGTATCCCGATTTTTGTTTCATCTTGGGACCAGAGGCGGGAAAATGGAACTGGACAGATGCCTTGAAGGCAGTCAAGAGCTGCGCTTCTCAATCTATGCAATCTGCATCAATTTGGCAATCTCCGCGCATTTGAAGCTTCCCGAAGATGAACCATTGAATCACGGAGCCCGTTCTTGAGCACAGAAATCTGAAAAGCAGTGGCTCCCTGGCCAGGCTACGCCCTGCAACTGAGGAGGATACTTTTCGCCTGCGAGCCTGCCACTTAGATTCCCGTGCAAGAAGCTGCGCAGCAATAGGAGAAAACTGTCCGACAGAGTTATTGTAGTTTTTTGATGTTTTTTGATGTTTTTTGCATCAGGTCTCCTCCATGTCAAGTGAGATGTAATCGATGACAACCGCATCATTGCTGAACCTATATTATATAATTATATTATATTATATTTGCCAAGATTTCAAGAGAAGAAACATTACATCAACATACCAGTAGTACCGCACAAGGCGGTGGCGGAAGTTCCAAAAATAGGAAACCTATAGGAGAGATTGGCTGTTGTGAATCAGGGATGGCAGAGCGAATCCACTGATGGACCGAAAGGTGCTTGAGGTCTCCTCTCTTTCTCTCTCTTCCTCTGACTATCTACTTACCTACCAGCCTGTCTTCTATGTATCTATCTATCTATCGATCTATCTATCTCCCTCTTTCTCTCTTTCATCTAATTACCTATCTACCTATCTACCTATCTACCTATCTGCCTACCTACCTATCTATCTATCTATCTTTCTATCTATCTATCTATCTATCTCTCTCTCTCTCTCTCTCTCTCTTTCATCTGTCTATCTGTCTAGCTGTCTACCTGTCTATCTATCTATCTATCTGTCTGTCTGTCTGTCTATCTGTCTATCTGTCTATCTGTCTACCTGTCTACCTGTCTACCTGTCTATCTGTGGTGCAGTGTCATTCAGTGTAATGTAGTGTAGTGTAATGTAGTGTAGTGTAGTGGAGTGTAGTGGAATGTAGTGTAGTGTAGTGTAATGTAATGTAATGTAGTGTCGTGTAATTTCGTGTAGTGGAGTGTAGTGGAGTGTAGTTGTGTAGTCGTAGTTGTAGTGTAGTGGAGTGTAGTGTAGTGTAATGTAGTGAAGTGTAGTGGAAGGTAGTGTAGTGTAATGTAGTGTAGTGTAGTGGAGTGTAGTGTAGTGTAATGTAGTGTAGTGTAGTGTAATTTAGTGTAGTGAAGTGTAGTGGAGTGTATTGTAGTTGAGTGTAGTTGTGTAGTTGTAGTTGTAGTTGTAGTGTAGTGGAGTGTAGTGTAATGTAGTGAAGTGTAGTGGAAGGTAGTGCAGTGTAGTGTAATGTCGTGTAGTGTAGTGGAGTGTAGTGTAGTGTGATGTAGTGTAGTGTAGTGTAATTTAGTGTAGTGGAGTGTAGTGGAGTGTAGTGGAGTGTAGTTGTGTAGTTGTAGTTGTAGTGTTGTGTAATGTAGTGTAGTGTAGTGGAGCGTAGTGTAGTGGAGTGTAGTGTAGTGTAGTGAAGCGAAGCGACATCTGAACCTCCAAAAGTGGTCCGAACCCCTTGTGTTTTTTACATTTTGACTTCGAAATGTGCTTCGCGCCACAACGGCGTGCACTTTTTCGACATCCGAACTTCCAAAAGTGGCGCGAGCATGGTGTGTTTTGTACATTGACTTCGAAATGTGCTTCGCGCCACAACGGTGTGCACTTTTTTGACATCTCAACTTCCAAAAGTGGTCCGAGACCGCCAGTTTTTAACACTTTTGACTTCGAAATGTGCTTCGCGCCACAACGGCGTGCATTTTTTCGACATCGCAACTTCCAAAAGTGGTCCGACGCTGAGGTGTTTTGTACATTTTGACTTGGAAATGTGCTTCGCGGCGCGAAATTTTTCATCTCTCATCTGGCCAGCTGGCTCCGCACCCGCCGCTTTAGCGAGCCTACTTTTCGACCCTCCGGAGCCACAAATCATTGGAAAAACACAGTGTTTCGCGACTTTCCTACCTTTTCGCGCATCTGCATCTTCTTTCTTCCTGACTCTTTCTCTTCTGATCTTCTCTCTTCTAATCTTCCTCTTCTCTCTGCCTCTGCCCTGCTCTGCTTTTCATCTCTCCATATTGTCGGAAGTTTGACTTCTAAACTTCCTTCGACCAGCACCATGGAGCATATGAGATAACTATCCCAAAATGGCAAATGGCGTCAATCGGGTGTTGTGAGGATGTTCAATACATGTTCACATATCGTGTGAACATGTATTTTTACATACAGAACACACAGATAACAATATAATTAACAATATAATATTGCATGAAATTGGTGTACAGTATCTATGTTTCATGTTAGTTGAGCGTGTTTTTTTGTTGCAACTGTGCTGTCGAGGTTTGAGCAGCTTTGTGGTGGAGCACCAGGAGAGTTTCAAACGTGTGTGGAATCACGAGTGTAAATTCATGTGCCTTGGCAGCCCTAGAGTTTTTCAGATCCAATGAGAATTGGTGTAGTTTATCATCTGATTGGTGGTGACCGGAACCATGGAATTTTGAATAACTTTCCATTCAGTTGGGAATAATCATCATCCCAACTGACTAATATTTTTCAGAGGGGTAGGTATACCACCAACCAGTCATAGTTTACCCCATGTATTTCGCCCAAAGAACTCCAAAAATATGGGTTATGATTCAATCTGACTTGAATGTATCGATTCAAAAGCAAACAGTTGAATTTCTTGTAGCAATGAACTTGTCTTATGGCAGTTGAATGATGCTGTGCTGAAACCAGCAGTCCGGTGCCATTGTCATGGCACTGGCGTTTGGGGAACCATGGGGAACCTGACCGGTAGGAGACGTCGAAGTCTGAAGTCTTTAAGTAGACCTGTGAACCTGACATTTGTCTTCGAGGAAGATGTTCCTGAAATACCAAAGATGAAAATGATGAAAACTGAATTACGATTATTGCAACTTCGGTTGGGTATGAGTTGATAGTTCTGTAGGTGGCAAATTGATCTATAGGAACTATATATGGACATAATCACCATAAACTCCACTTAATCAACCCCAAAAAAGATAGAACAGCGTCTTGGAAAGAAATTCGATGTGTCACTCCCAAACTAGAATTGGTGTCCACTTTCCTACCTTGTACCTTTTCCCCTTTTTTTCTTTGGTTCCTTTCGATGTCGCGTTTGACCGGCGAACCCGACCGAGGATCTCAGCCGCCACGGTCTTCCTCTGGGTCTCCTGCGTGTTGGCGATCTTGATCACCGCCGGGATGTTTTGGCTCTTCCTGCAGAACCACATGGCGCGGCCGGCGTTTGACGTTTTACGAAACGAGTTGCGTTGCGTGGAAACGCGTGGAAACACGAAGTTTTTCTAGCACTGTTGTGGTGAAACAGCTTGGGATTTCAGATTTTGAAGGTGGTACTTCAATGTACTTCAACAACATTACTATGTTTTCCCGGTATATTGGCCCAAAAATCTGGGTCCCCCCGATTCCCATTTATCATCATTCCCCCCATTGGTGAGGAAAAGTCATGTGGAGACGGTGGGAATGTAGGGGAGAAGTTGTGCGGTCGTTTGGATTGGGATCAGCTCTATGTGTTTCCATCATAGAACATTTTGGGCATTAGCGGTTGGTCAAGCATTCCATTTTCGCATAGGCGGGTCAACATCGCCATGCTGCCACACACTTTGCCCTGTGTACCTTGTCGGATGTTTCTTTTTTTTTTCCGAGAAACACTGAGTTTCTGGAAGGTCTCAAGTGAAAACAACATCGATTACTTCTGATATATGATTGAATATATAGTTATATATACACTGCACTATATAATTATATATATATATTTATGTTTATATTTATATTTATATTTATACTTATATAATCTTATATACGTATATATATATATATATACAGATACACGTATGTGCAATATGCATATGTATAAATGTTTGAATTGGGGGTGGCCACTCTATTTGAAAAACGCCGCTTAAATGATGGATTTTCTACCGCAGTTGACATTCCACGGAGGACCGGACCGGACCGTTAGGACGTCCCGAATGACGTGTCGGGACGAGATGGCAAAGGGTAAATGATCCCTGGTTTATCACCAGGAATGGGTGGCATAAACCCTTCAAAAATGAGATTAGTCTAAAAAAATTGGGAAAGCCCACTAATTTACCACATCATGTTTCTTGAAAACCCTGTTCCTTCTCCTTGAAAAACCGATTCGAATCATCAAAGCAGTCTCTGATTTAATTCGAGATCAGTTCACCGTTGTTCTATCCCAATCGGCTGACTGATTGTTGAATTCTCAACTGGATATGCATCACCAGGTGAAAAAAAAGCGAACCATATCTATCAATATCTATCATGGTTATCAATCTTGTCTAATTCATGACCTTTGAAACATCTCAAAAACCCATTATCATATGTGACATTACCTTGATGATAGTGTATACTGTATAATCATTGTCATATCATGTTCTTTTTTTCTTTGAAGCCCATGTTCACTGCTGAACCACCGGATTTTGAGGCACGGTCTGTGGCTTGATGGCTCCCATCTTCTACGGCCTTTGGTTTCGCCTTACCTGTCGCGAGACCACGCGCAAGTTTCGCAATGAACACGGAGAGTCACCCACCTTCGAGGACTTCTGCGATGCGTTCTTAAAGGGCGTTTGTGGCATGACTTATGGCCGGCCTCACCATACATTTTTGCTGGTTGGTGGTTTGGAACATGACTGGATGATTTTCCATTTTCTATATGGGATCATCCGAAACCCATTGACGAACTCATATTTTTCAAGATGGTTAAAACCACCAACCAGTAATGGTTGGGTTTGGGGAATAATTACTCCCATGTTTATCACTTGTTTCAATGAGTGTAATTTGCCAAATAGATGTGGGTCCCCAAAACATACAAACGAAAACTGTTGTTCAAAATACATTGTTGATTTGCCTGCCTTTCTATTTCCATAGACGTTGTGTATACATTACTGGTTGGTGGTTTGGAACATGTTTTTTTTCCCATTCAGTTGGGAATAATACTCCCATTTGACTTTCATATTTTTCAGAGGGGTTGAAACCACCAACCAGATTATGTATATATATATTACTCGTACTCGTACTAGCAGTAATGGATATTTAGATGATTTTGATACACGTTCTGTATACATTAATATCAATGGCCATTTCAGGAACCTAAATTGGAGGTACCTACCATATAAAAGGCCTATTTTTCAGGCCTAAAATTCAGGGAATATCCCCAGAAAATACGGCCTAAAATATGGTACGTTTACGTACCTCCATTTTAGGATCCTGGAGATCTCCCATTGATTATATATAAAGAACCTTGCGTAGCGTTAACCCGTAGATCCGGCTCGCTGACCTTTGCAGGATTGCATCGAACCCCCTGAGGTTTCATCGGTTTCATCAGGCGGATGTTGCCAGGGTATTGCCAGCGATCTCCAGATCTATCAAGGTCTACAAACAGATCTATAGATATCTATAGCAGATATGGTGAAAATCTCTTGATGTACGTTTTTGCTATGTATCAAGAACATGCAAAATTTCTAAAAAAGAGATGTTCACAGACACAGATCTAATATGATCTAATACTCTTATCTTCAGGATCATAGAATTGGATGATGGGAAAAGGTACAGGAAACCCCAACCAATTTGATGGTAAAACCCCATGGCTTTCCGGTTAAGATTTTCACATTAAACTTTATAAACCAATCCATTGACTAGAATCACCACTATTAATCACTGTTAACCATTATTAACCATTATTGACCACTATTTTCACTGGATTACCCCTATATTACCCCTATACTACCCCTATATTTGATGGTAAAAAGCCATGGGTTTTGCCAGGGAAAAGCCACAGATTTTGTCGGATTTTGCAAGGCGATCGCCCGGATCTCATGAGTTCCGTGTCCCACTCCGTGTCTTCGGCCTCGTCGCGTTGGGGAACTCAGGGTAACTCAGGGGAACTCAGAAGTAAAATGATGGGGTCAACCTACAAGACATTGGGGATTTCATGGAATTTCATAGTGGTTTTACCATGGTTTATAGAATGGTTTATAGAATGGTTTAATGATGGGATGATTTGCTGGGATAATGATGGGATAATACTGGGATATTGATGGATATACCCTCTGGTTAATAGCGGTTAATGATGATGAATTGTGACTTATTGGTGATTCATGATGATTTTCATGGGGTATACCCGGCCTGGTAAACCTACAAAAACTATTGAAGCCATGGCCCAGTCGAAATAGTGGATTTCCCCATGAATAGCATGGTGATTTTCCATAGTTATTGTAAACGTTTACCAGAGGGTAACATCCCTTTTATTTGGGTACTTCGAAGGTCTACCAACATCATCAGGGTTCATGAGGGTTGATGATTTTCTGGTGACCTCGCGAATCAGAACAGATTATATCCGGCTAAAGTTTTCTTGAATCCATTCCAAATCACGAAATGTTGCCTGATTTGTCTCTCAAAATAACATTAAACAACATTGAAACCTAAGATTTTGCCGCATCTTAATCTCAATCCGGGTGTAAACTTGATCCTCGTGTGCCCTGGACACGCCTCGTTTGATGGTTTTTGCTGCTTGATTATGAGCAAACGTATGGGATGATGTACTTTTTATCTGAAGAGTTGCGTTTTTTTTTGGCGCTCTGGTAAACGTTTACATAACGATGGAAAATCACCATTTTAATGGGTGAATCAACTATTCCTATGGCCATTTTCAATAGCTTTTTGTAAGTTTACCAGAGGCTATGCGTTCCAAGCCACAGAATTTTCATTTTGTGGTTGATGGTGATGGACACTGTTTGCTGATTTTGGATCTCAGAAAATCACTGTTTAACTTCCATGATCATTAATCATTAATGGTTACTATATAATGTTACTAATGGTTAATCTACTGGTTGAATCAATGGTTAGATTAACCAATCAATATGGTTAATATTAATCATCAATCCTGGTTAATATAATTCACATAATCCAATCTTTCTAATGGTTAATCAATCACGGTTAGTCAATCCTGGTTGAATCTTTTGATCCATTGAGGTGAAATCCGAGATTCGTTGAAACATCAAGAGTTCACTGAAGCTCTCCCATGAATCCATTACCCTCTGGTAAACCTACAAAAAGCTATTGAACATGGCCATTTATAGTGGTTTTTCCCATAAAAAAATGGTGACTTTCCATAGTTATGTAAACGTTTACCAGAGGGTACCCCGTATTGTTGGTCAATAGCAGCATTTTTGGATAAACCCAGAGTCGTGAATATATCCGCAAGTGATGGCCTAAAATAGATAGATGTTTTCGAGATTCTACAGATTCCGAAGCATGGACGTCCTTGCTTCTTGTTTGCTTTACATTTCAAATATGGTCAAATATATATCTTTACATTATGATATCATATAATATTAACTAAATTTCATATTAGCTGCATATGTATATATATATATACAGAATCAGGAACGTTAGGTCCTGGAAAATGGTGCGTTTTAACCCCCTGCTTTGTTTAGGGGTACCTACCCAGTGTCAACGCTTTCAATTTTATAGAGGACCTTGGGGTCTCTGATTCTATAGAGATTTCATGTTGAATACAGCACTGAGTACTAGTCAGCAGAGAGTCTTAGGGACTGCGATTCTATAGTGGGATATGTTCTCTTTGGATGTATGTCATGTTCTTCAATTCTATATAGAAAAGTATTGGCAGAACAAAATGGGAACAAAATGAAACAAAATAAAACAGAGCGACTTTCAAGATCTTTCAAGCATTTTTCACCAGTCTATAAAATCGAAGAGGTTGACAGTGAACACTTGGAGCCTTTGAGCTCTATAAATTTGGGAATGCATAAGGTAAGGTAGGCAAGAGCAACTGGAGCATTCAGGTCAGCTGTCAATGAATGAGACTTGGGAGCCTGATTTTATAGAAGGCCAACTAACCCCCCCAACCAAAAAAAGGCTCTACGAGAGTGACTTGGCGGCAGCTATTCTTTAGAGAATGATGCTCATAAACGACCTCGGTGACATTGATTCTATAGAGATTGTCAACTTGAAAATACCTTGGGGTCTCTGATTCTATAGATGCATTTTCCGGTCGAGGGTCAGGGTCTCCAGAATTATCACCATAAATTTGTCAACACCAACATTCTCACTTAATTCAAAGGGGGATCATAGAAAAAAAATAATAGTTATGATATATATATAATATGTATATATATATATATATGTATAATATTATACATACCATATGATACGGGTTCCTTCCAAAACTTCCCAGATGCTGTGGCACTCCTTGGTGCCCTGGGACGTCGCGGCCTAGCTTTGCGCCGCGGTGGTGTCCGGGAAGGCACGCACGCGTGTGCGTGCTTTTAGCCCGCGCGTTGAGCCGAGGGGACTTGGGATTTTCGCATGATTTTCCAGAAAAGAAATGGTTGGTGGTTTGGAACATGACTGGATTTTTTTCCATTTTCTATATGGGATGTCATCCGAAACCCATTGACGAACTCCATCATTTTTCAAGATGGTTAGTCAACCACCAACCAGAAAATGGTGAAGATGAAAAAAACAACACATGCTGATTGAAGCAGAATATGATGAATATGGGATTCTTAAATAGATTGGAAGAGGAAAAACTAGTCATGGCTCCTATACTCTACTATTCGCCAAAAAATTGGAATTCATCCACAGAAACAAAGATTGAACTAGCCAAAACGTGGGGGATTTACTTAACCAAGAAACCTTGGTGTCTGATTGGTGGTTTGGATTTGTTTTTTATTTTTCCATTCAGTTGGGAATTTCATAATCCCAACTGACGAACTCACTCCATCATTTTTCAGAGGGCTAGGTAGGTATACCACCAACCAGGGGATTTTCACCAACAAAAAATCATGATCCAGGCTCACTGGTGCATCCGAAGAATCGATATCATCCAGTGTCTACCAACATAGAACCGGGGTCTTTTTCGCCTATATGAGTAGATCATTTCATATGGTTATTTCACATGGTTATTTCATATGGTTATTACCCTCTGGTAAACGTTTACATAACTATTGAAAATCACCATTCTTAATAGGTAAAACATTTATAAATGAGCCATAATCCATAACTATGTTAGTTTACTGGAGGGTAAGCATTGAGGTATTCCTGGGACATCCAAGTCTCCTTCGCGACAGGATCCAATCTGGATGAGGGGGTTTTGATGGCCGAAAGACCTTCAGGTACCGCGAGCGGGCGGGAAGGCTGATCGATCTGCCACGACCGGAGTTTGGCCAAGCTCACCAGAAATGATAGTCTGATAGTCTGATAGTCAGGGAAATCATTCCCAGTTTTTTTTTGTAATTCAAGTCAGAGCTGGGATTTATTTATGATTATTTATATGCCTATAGATCTACTGCTTTGAAGCAAAAGAAGGAGCAAAGTTTGGCTGTCTTCCGGCTGATGATCCCATGATGGGATTAACAACTCGTCAGGTCGACCCTTTGGTCGGCTGTTTTCATCAGTTTTTTATTCTTCAGGGATATGACATTCAATCTTCAAGTAGAATCATGATTTCTGAATTTTGGGCTTGAAAGTGGCTACTCAACAAACATGGCCTAAGAAATTCCTAGCATAGATCATTGGCTTATCATTGGAAATGACACCTTTTGGATGATTTGCTGATCCCCAGAAAGCCGGAATTGGTGGTTGCCAGCTTCGATGAATCGTACTGTTTCTGACTGTGGCCGACTGCCAGGTTTGCCAATTCTCGAGGATGACTTTGACATGAGGTTTAATGAATTGACGTGATGGACGTCTCAGGTGACTTTGCACTTCCTTTCCGCCTGGATTGGAGGCAGATGGTAAATTCCTGTTTCCAAAAGCACCATGCTTGTGTTGGTTATACCGACTTATACCACGCTATACCTTGAGTTTGACGTCCATCCGGTCTTTCACAACTTGGCATCTTGCCACAATCTTCCCAGCACATCTGAGCTTGCGCAATGACGTGAACAAGATATATACTCGCTGGTGAAAAACATGCTGCATGAGGTGTGAAAGTTGGATACATCCCCACAGGCCCAGGCCCAGATGACCACCACGCCCAGGGTGATTGGGTGATTTCCCGGCAACAGATGGGTACATCCAAGCCTAGCGTTCCCGTGACTGCTGGGCTTTCCATGGAAATATGAGGTCTGGGACCAAGAACCTTGGCGTTCCCGTGACTGCTGGGCTTTCCATGAAAGATGAGTGAAAGTTGAAGTCACCACAGCTGAAGCAGCCTAGAAATTTATACATATATATCCCTGTGTACATTTCCACTATGAAATGGCTTGACCCATGTTCCATTCCAGGGGCATTTTTCTAACAAAAGGATGCATTTTGTAAGGACATGTTTCTGGTCAACCATGCCATTTTGTAAAAAGCGTGTTTTTTGCTGGGCGAATCATTTTGTAAGAGCCAACTTTCTTTACAAAATGAACTCGGGGCCAATCATTTCATAACGCAATTTTGGGTTCATTTCAGGCAGTGCAAAAAAGGGTATTGAAATCTTGGCCATGTCCAGGAACCAGGGTTTCTTCTCTAATTTTTTTTGGGTTCCACCATTGATGTGTGAAGAACCGGCAAGACACCACTAAGTCAACCAACCAGAAAAGGTGATATCAAACTTTCTGGGATTTTTTCCAAACTTTGGGGACTGGGAAAAAATTGCGGGGTTCCCTGGGGGAAGTTGGACTTGTACAAGTAAGACATGTTTCCAAACAAACCATTTTTTAAGACACAAGCTTATAAGATGATTGGGTTTGGGGCCTGGAAATTAACTTGGGGCAACAATTTGGTGAGGAGTCGATTTTTGATTTTTTTTGGGGGTTCACCGGTGTTTGCTGGGGAATCACACCAAGCCTGGTGCCCAGCCCATTTTGTAAACCCCCAACCATGGATGTTTGTAAGGTTAACTCCTGGGTCCCTTACAAAATGGTTGCCTTGGGTCAGGGGGGTAAATGTGCAGGGGGATACATATATAAATATACCATCCAATACCCCTATATAGTTGGGATGTTGGGGATATTCCGACATTACCCTTTGGTAAACGTTCACATAACTATGGAAAATCGCCATTTTTCATAGGTAAATCAACTATTTCGACTGGGCCATTTTCAATAGCTATGTTAAATTACTAGAGCGGTAATCTTTGGATATCTTTGGGTTATTTCAGATGCGAACGGACTCGCCACTTCTTCACTGGCTCAAAAAACACCATCGGCTCCAGACAGAGCCCGGACCGGTTCCTGGGTCCGCCATCATGGCAGATGAAGATGAAGAAGGACTAGGCGATCGTTGATGGATATGCTGGGGGTTTCTTAATGGCTGGGGAATCCCCAAATGCTGCATGTTTTTTTTTCAATGTTTATAATAGATCCCTATAAAAAAATGGGTGATTGGTACCAAAAGCACAGGTTTCAAAACTAAAATGGTCTGTCTAATGACTTAGATGAAACCTCCTTGTGGTGTCAATCTATGAAACCAACAATTTGGTGTGGAGAGGGATGTCTAGCAATGTGGTGTTGGGTGTGGACCTGAAAATAGTTTGTATACTCCCAACACTTTTTGGATATGCATGATATACAACTTAGCCATACTTAGCCCATAATATCTTAAAGTGATGGGTAGTTCATAGTCCAACAAGGCGGTTCTGTTTATTCGTGATTTCTATGTTGTCTGAGTTTTATTATTGTAAACCGACATGGGAATCTCTCGCAACAAACCACGTTTGCGAACGGGGAATGAGGTGAACGGCCCACTCAAATTGTTGGAATTGTGGTTGATGTCCATCTGTACAGGATGGGGCCCCCCAGTCATAAGTTATTAACTATAGTTATATCTACCATAAACCATTGTTAAGCCACTTATAAACCAACTTAGCTATCTTGGGGGCCCCAATCCTGTACCCTCCAGGAGATTTCACATAGCTATGTGAACGTGAATTTCCTGGAGGATACCCCGAAATCACGGTCCATCATATGCCATCGCCCAGCATTCATAGCCGATAGCCACCGAGCGATGGTTTGCCAGGCTATCCGACCATCCTCACCAACATCCGTGGCATCGGAGGTTGTCTGGGTTCCACAGCCGGGCGATTTCACCGGAAAAATCACTGTGCGCAAGCAGGGGCGACCAGCAAAGCATGGCTTGATGGTTGATGTTCATTTTCATGTTGCCAGAATCTGCTGCTGTTTATCTCCCATATCCCATGTTTATGGCCTCATTGTTTCCCTATGTTCCAGCATGTTCCAGCCCCATCTAACCCAGCTGCAGCAGTTGCCATCCCATGATCCGGCTCAGGTCTGATCAATCCTGAGCCTCATGAGCTGAAGTCCTACTATTCCTCAGGCCATCCCTAGCGATGCGTGATGCGTATCGATGGCCATGGGGTGGGATGGCGTGGCGTGGTGTTTGACGCTGGCCGGCTGGAAAACATGGATTTTTCAACGATGAAAAATGGTGATCAAAGATGGGGTATGAGTGGAAACCATGATGGTTTGTAGCTCAGCAACTGTTGATCTTGATATTTAAGAGCGGCCAGAAACCCTGGATGTTGGGGATGGAATTAGACATGACTGTGACATACTTTGACCGGAGGACGTATATGGAACGGAGGATGGGATTGATCATCCTGACGTATATGGAATATACAATGTTATCATTCTTATTTTTAACTGGTTGGTGGTTTGGAACATGAATTTTATGACTTTCCATAATTGGGAATAATTAATAGTCCCAACCTACTTTCATATTTTTCAGAGGGGTTGAAACCACCAACCAGATTCTTAGTTTTAAAGATTGTTTGAAAGCCCTACATCCTATCTACTTCAGAATGACTAGAGTTTTAGGAACACTTGTTTACATTGGGTTGGATACGTGATTGCTTACTACAAATCAGATGTCCATCATTCTCGGCTATACTGATGGCAGCCACACCATTCGTACGCGAGCAACTGATGATTTGATTGGATGGTGATACACATGACATGGGTTACTATAGGATTCATACATATTACTCTGGTAAACTAACATAGCTATTGAAAATGGTCCATTTATAGTTGATTTACCTATTAAACATGGTGATTTTCCATAGTTATGTTAGTTTACCAGAGGGTAGTGTGTTTCATGTGTACATAGACCGTTAATTAAGACCTAATGTACGTGTATTTATTGGTTGCCAGGGCAACACAGGGCCGAGTACATCAGCCATTTGAGTCTTATTTGCAATGCCCTATATGGAATTGGATTAACCCTGTGAAGGTTCATGGGATTAATCTTAGGCATGAAACATCGGCAACTTTGCTAGATGGGGATTTTTCATACCTCACAGATCTTCAACCCAAGTCGACCCATTGAATTTGGGCATTCCAGGCAGCAGTTTGTGTTTACTTAGGTGAAGGTGAGCAACCTCAAACTTCTTCGACAGAAGCTTCATGAGGGGAAAATTTCAATAAACAGTTCCAAGCAATGGGTTGGTAGGTGCACTAAAAAAGATCGGTATAAATGCCCTCTGGTAAACAAACAGTTCGCTATTGAAAATGGCCATAGAAATAGTGGATTTAGCCATTGAAAATGGTGATTTTCCATAGTTATGTTAATGTTTACCAGAGGGTACCAATAAACACACATTTCCAGGGGCTGTGTCGATGAATTGAGGTCATGAGTGGTCATGACTTGAGGTCATGAAACAACCCCAGGGCCCAGGTGTAGCCACGTGAGATTTGGTGTATACGAACATCAAGATCTGCTAGATCTGGGGTGGATCTGGGGTCTTCTTTTTGACCATCCCTACTGGTCCTGGGATCATGATTCCCAATGACAAAGTCTAGTGTTTTCCGAGGCTTTTCCCACATGTGTATATTTATCCTAGAGCAATACATCAATCTGGGTAAATGATAACGACCGAACCCTGTTCTCCTGAACCCTGGAATCATGGTGAATGTTAGGGAAATCATCCCCAAATGGCCGAACTATTCAGGTTCGTGAAATATGATAATTTCTCCAGATCAATGCTGAGGGTGTATACCTGTGGCGTCAGGTCTGAAGGTCGAACTGCTGGCCACGGCACGAGGCGCGAAAATCAGCGTACGCGTGGGTTAGAAGGGTTCCAGCGTGGCGAGTTCACCAGCAACTTGGGAGTTCACCAGCAAAAATGGTGGTACCCTCTGGCAAACTGTCACAGAACTATGGAAAATCACCATGTTCAATGGAAAAATCCACTATTTTTATGGCCATTTTCAATAGCTTTTTGTATGTTTACCAGAGGGTATAGTGGTGGGGATACAATGTGAATATAATGGGATATGACTCTGATATGACCAATGTGTCATCATTGCCATAGGCGCATAGCGGGCTGCTGGGAAATCCCTGAACGAATGATCAGGTCTGAAAATGGGAAAAGCATCGTGAAATAATTGGGAATTGTTCATTACCACATTTGATTACCACGGGTGTGTTTCTTTTCATTTTGGGAGCGCGTCATTTTGGTAGTAAATATGGACTTTCCGAATACATCCTACTAAAAGACAAACTCTTAGCAGGGGATCAAAGAATTGGTTGTGGTTTCATGTTTGGCATGTTTGTTGATGTTCTATCCCTAGAAATGGAATGATAATCCCGATTAAGTATTGATTGTGTATGGGACGTGTTGTAATCGATGGGGATACTGGCCAAAGAACAACACATTCTTGGCCGATGGTTTGAACGGATACTGATTGAGATAATCAGCCCATTTCTAGGATCCCTGTGATGTAAATTTAATTTAGTTCCCAATGACAATAGATGAATATTGATTAACCATTCACGACCATAAGATTGAATATGTGATTTGTCATATCAAATGAATATATTTAAATTCATGACAATATAAAATATGTGAATATAACTGATATATCATTATCCCGATGGAGACTTTTCTTCCCAATGATAATGAATAGTGATAAATCCCAATGATGGATCGTATCTTTGGGGCTTCAATGGGCGCTATCTCTGTGGATGCGTAGCTCACGATTGTCCAGAATTACCATCCAGTAAACTGACATAGCCATGGAAAATCACCATCACAGTATCCATGTGTTATAAGTTTTATAAGTAAATCATCGAAAAATACCACAAATGGTAATGGAAAGTCCATGGAAAATCACTGGTATTGAAAATCATCGAAATGAGGCATTGGTTTCTACGTTAAAAAATACCAGATGCGGATCGATGATCCCACATTTTTTCAGGTCGATCCTGAGATCTCCTGTTTCTGGTGAGCGATGATATCTCGATGTTTTTGTTTTACTGGAACATATACAATTAATTGTATACATTTATTCATATTGATTCATATTTAATTATTCATATTTAATCGTATTTATTCATATTTATTCATATTCATTCATATTCACTATATTTATTCATAAATTATACATCCATATACCAATTTAAGATCATCTTTGATCATGTCCAGGTTTGATTTTAGCATTTCACCTCGACACTTCCAGGACTAGGTGGCTTTGCAGGGTTTCATACCTCCATCTTGATGGCCGGTGAGGACCGGACCGCTGCTGATTTGTAAGGAGTTGGATGTTACCTGGTTATTTGGATGTTACAAAAACAACAAAATGGAGGTTTAGTGGGTTTACTATGGTTTTTTGATGTTGTTTATAGGATTTAATATGGATGAGAATGGGATAATGATGGGATAAGACTGGGATATTGATGGATATACCCTTACTGGTAAACGTTAACAAAAAACTATGGACAATCACCATGTTCAATGGCTAAATCCACTATTTCTATGGGCCATTTTCAATAGCAAACTGGATTAATCTTGAAAACTGGGATGATTATTTTACCCATCATATACCCTCTGATAATTTGTTACATAGCTATTGAAAATGGCTCATGAACAGTTGATTTACCTATTCCAAATGGGAATTTTCCGTAGCTATTCATCGACAAAGCCCCTGGAAATTTGTGTTTATTGGTACCCTCTGGTAAACATTAACGAAAAACTAATCCCTTCCTCCTAATACTAAACGTCCCCCTAATACTAAAAACAGGCATCCATCTCCAATTTCCGAAAATTTCAGTTTGGCCAATTTGACTTTTAATTGATCCCCTTTAAAAAACAATTTAAAAATCAACCTACCATTTGTGGGTTCTCCCCCCTAATACTAAAAACTAGTTCACCCCGGGGTGTTTAGTATTAGGGGGGCCTAGTCCCAATCCCTCACTCCAAGCTGCCTAGCTACTCTAGCAATTAGGGGTAAGCTTCTAACTGCCATTTTTGGCAATATTTTAATTGCGTTATATAAGGAAATTTAATTGATTTTGAGATCGGAAAAAATAGTTTTTAGTATTAAGGGTTTTAATTTAGTATTAGGGGTAAGCTTCGAACTGCCATTTTTGGCAATATTTCAATTGCGTTATATAAGGAAATTTAATTGATTTTGAGATCGGAAAAAATAGTTTTTAGTATTAAGGGTTTTAATTTAGTATTAGGGGTAAGCTTCGAACTGCCATTTTTGGCAATATTTTAATTGCGTTATATAAGGAAATTTAATTGATTTTGAGATCGGAAAAAATAGTTTTTAGTATTAAGGGTTTTAATTTAGTATTAGGGGTAAGCTTCGAACTGCCATTTTTGGCAATATTTTAATTGCGTTATATAAAGAAATTTAATTGATCTTGAGATCGGAAAAAATAGTTTTTAGTATTAAGGGTTTTAATTTAGTATTAGGGGTAAGCTTCGAACTGCCATTTTTGGCAATATTTTAATTGCGTTATATAAGGAAATTTAATTGATTTTGAGATCGGAAAAAATAGTTTTTAGTATTAAGGGTTTTAATTTAGTATTAGGGGTAAGCTTCGAACTGCCATTTTTGGCAATATTTTAATTGCGTTATATAAAGAAATTTAATTGATTAATTAACATGACTTCGATTTGGTTCCCTAATAATAAATACCCCCCTAATACTAAAAACTACCTGCCGTGTTTTGTATTAGGGGGGGGGTTTAGTATTAGGAGGAAGGGATTATGGAAAATCACCATTTTCCATGGCTAAATCCACTATTTCTATGGCCATTTTCAATAGCGAACTGTTTATTTACCAGAGGCTATTTGGGGATTATGAACCAACCAATTAATTGGGGAAACCTATAATTTACCATATGATTTTTCAGAAACTCCGAGTTTGTTATTGTTTTTTTTCCGAAAAGGGGCGATTTTGACCGGGAAAAAAAACACAGAGATTTGGCTGCACCATCCCAGTGATGATCAATATGTTGCTAGGCTATAGCTGCCATAACTCTCGGATCATGTCTCTCCAGGGCCCAATAAAAAAAGATCTAATTATTCTGGACACATTCCAAACTTCCGGTTTTTTGATGGTGAACACGTGGAAATACCGTGGAATTTGGAGATCGCCAGCAAAAAAAAGGAGAAATTCTCCTCAGAGTTTGGCCGCGAGGAATATTTCTTCAGCCCTACGGGGATCCGATGTTGTTCCTATCCAATTAGTCATCCGAGTTTGTTGCAGGCCGTGGGCGGGATTTGTGACATGGTGACATGGGTGTGATGTGATGCAATGATGTGCAATGTTTTTTTGTTCAAAATTGGTTGGTACTGGTTATATATATATGGCTATGGATCAATACCTATAAGTACCATTTTTAGTGGGATGAACATCCATTTACCAGCTATTTTGATGTGAACTACAGGGGTACCAGGGTTTTGACACACTGCCATATAGGTTTTGGCATTAATACTTATTGATATGGTTTAAGTCTGTTGGTGATGTTTCAAATGTATTTGGCAAAGGGCGGAGTTCCTGATTCCCCACACTCCAACGGGCGGCTCTGTGTTTGCGAATTCTCGCGCCCATGATGGCGAAGGGCAGACTAAGGTTTCCACCTTCCCAGAATTGGTGTTCGATGGAAAATTCACCCAACAAATCCCCCAGAAAAGATAGAAAAATGGACACAAGTTCCATGATGTTCCATTGGTTTCCTGTAGATCTTCCATTTCGTTTTCCATGGAACCAACCCATCCATTGGTTGAAGTTGGCTGTCCGCCGAGGCCATTCGGATTGGAGTTGGCGTCAGCAAGGTGCGGTGATTTCGGGTGGCTTCATGGGAGTTACTGGGGAAGTTACAACTGGGTAATAGTAATGATACCCTCTGGTTATGACTAACATAGCCATGGTATAGATGGCCCACTTATAGATGGTTTACCTATGTTTACCGCTTAATAGCATGGTGATTTTCCATGGCTATGTTAAATAGCCAGATGGTAATGAAAATGATTTATTAATGTGGGGAGTATATAATCTATAATGGGAGATCTTCTAATATTACTGGGAGATATTTTTTTTTTTTATCAGGGGAGTTCATCATGATAATGATTGATAAGAATGATAATAGTCTGGGTGATGTTATACACATTTATACACTATATCCTGGCGTACCATGTTGAGAGGTGTTTTGCTTTTTTTGGGGATGCGTCATACCCTACTGTCGAGTCCGTGGTGGAAATTACTGATTTGTTCGTTGCCGTATTGGATTGCAGGAGGATGGCATTGCTTTTGTCGGGAGTCACCAAGTGACGCTGCATGATCAAAAGCCCCCCTGGTTTGCCCTGAAAATCCAGACTTGCCAGGCTGGCTGGAAGATTGCAAACAAGTCCATCCTATTCTTTCTAGACATGATTTAGACATGACATAGCTGGATAAAATGATCTCAACCGCTATGTCCACTGTGTGAATCGGAAATGAATCAGCAAACGTAACTCACCTGGTCCCCCCATGGACGCTCCAAGCGACCGTCAGCGACATCATGTCGGTCATGTGTGTCAGTTGAACTATGAAGCCGGTGGATCTCTGATTTCTACAGCTCTCGGAGAGGGGAAGAGCATCCTACCCTTCTCCAAAGGGCCGTGCCGAATGATGCTCGGTGACCGGGTGTCATTTTCCCTGACGAGCCGCTGTGAAGTGATGGATGTTTCTTTGCTGCCGAAAGCTTCGGAGCCAAGGGATGCCAGTGAGGATTCCAGCACTGTCGCATCACCTTCAGGTCTCAGGAAGCTGCAACGGAGCATTGGAAGATTTTGCAATGCAGATCTGCCAGGACAACTTCAACTAGTGGCAAATGCTGAAGAAAGACTTGATGAGTTACTTCATGACAGCGAATTGGATGGTGATGCCATTTGCAAAGTCGTGGCATGTTGTGCTGGATGGCTTCGTTCTCCATTTTCACATGGAGCTGTCAGGTCAGGCTGGTCAGGAGACCAAGACTCAAACATGGAAAGTGGCGGAGTCCAGAGCAGAGTCAGGCGACTGTTAATTCGGGCTCTCAGTCACCTAGATTTGACCCACAACACAACCCTCCAGGCAGTTGTATCAGCGGTCATCTACATTCGTTCCTTGTTACCTGACAGTGACTACGCAGAGGGCCCAGGTAGGCTTGCTGCAAAACAGTGGAATCAGCTACGAGCGTTGGTGAGTTGCATCGAGCCAGCGGTCGCTGCCAGCTGCAACCCTGAGCCCCCCAAGGGGCCCCTGGGGGTGCCTGAGGCTCAGGGTCCAAGGCGCACTGGCGGCACAGGGATGCTCGGAAAGGACAAGGGAACCACCAGTGGAGGTGTTTATTGTCCCAGTGAAAAGGTCAGAAGATTGCGCTTCGTGTCAGGGAACCACGAGAAAGTTGAAATGAAATGCCGGCATTGCCAACAGATCTTTACTAGCAGATGGCGCTGGACACATCCGGGCACTGGGCAAATGCACATCTTGGTGCCGCACACAGGCCATCGAAGATGTACAAAACAAGAAGGCAAGAAGTCGGTCGCCAGTTCCCGACAATGTGATAGGGTTCTGTGAAATTAGAAGCTGCCATCACCCTAACATGATATTCAAAGTTTGGGTTGGACCCCAGCGTTTTATAGAAAGGATGAAAGGTATGCCTAGCTCATAGATGTTCATAGTAATTCTAACGGCAGTTGGAGCAATTTGGGACATGCTATGAGTATCATCGCCCCTGAAGGCAGAAAGTCTCCGTGGATCATTGCCAGCCAGCTACCCTCCAAGATTGATACGATTGGCAACACCGATTTGTGCCCGCACCACGTGCAGAAGCAGAACTGCAATGCCAAAGGCCAAGCTGGGCAAAATGGTGGTTGGTAGGAATGAACATCTAATGAACCAACGAAGAACATCAGAACAGAATGGTTATGAAGATGCAGCAGTATCATAGATGTCCAATGATAAAAGCAGGTGTTTCTGCAAGAATGGTATCAATTTCAGTGGTGTATTGATATACAATTCGATTAGTAAGATTTGGAAATCAGTAAATAGGGAATCAGATGGAATCAGTATATTCCGATTTGTGTATACGTGTTCTATCACTTTTGAATACGAAATATTTGCTGATAAATTCAATTCGTTATTTTCTTGTGCGTCTATTCTTACTTGTGCTAAACGTACGGGAATTTTCGGGAATGATCCACACTAAGTGTCAATCATAATCCCATCTCCGCAGCAATCCATCCATTCCCTACGTATAGCACGCACCAGTAAGTATAGTATCCTCCGGCCATCAAACATGGCTGGAAAATCCATAAAAAAAATGTAGATGGTTTTTCCATAAGAAACACCGCCATTTAGAGGGGATTTTCCCAGTAAGTATTACATCAGCTATTACATCAGTAATGATACATATCCATTTACATCCGTTTTTTCCATATTTCCTCATCTTTTCCCATGGTTTGCAAATGGTTTTCCTATTAAAAAATAGCATACACACCCACTTAATAGCAACATTTTGCTGCTGCCTTTTCGGGTTCACGCCTTGAACCCAGAATGGGTCAGACCTATGGGCGCGTTGAACCTCTGTTATGGCTCATGTTTCTTAAGGATTAACTTAAAGTCCCTTAATGTTGGTAAATCAACGATTTCTATGGGCCATTTTCAACAGCAAACTGTTAGTCATTACCAGAGGGAATATCACAAAAGAGTGGGTAAACCAATGCCATAAACCATCCCCAATTTCACCATAAATAGATATTACCATCTGGTTTTGACTAACAGTTTGCCATGGTAGTTCGATGGCCCTAATCGAAATAGATGGTTTACCTATTAAAAATGGTGATTTTCCATGGCGAACTGTTAATAACCAGATGGTAGATGGTATAAACATGTATAAACCATTCCCTAGTGGATGTTGCTTCTGGCTCAAGCTGATTGCTCTCCCAAGCAATTTGATCAAGTTGAATAGCACATGACCACATTAATCCACATTTGAGGCCCCTTTGTTACCCCCCACTTTTATCTTTTGTTCACCCAAGCTGTAAGCAGAATGTTGCAAGATATTTGTCGGGCATGGGACACTGTGCTACTTTTAAGGATCCCATTTGCTGAAGAGGAAATGTCTGATATAATTAGCGATCTGCATCCAGGGTTTACCACTTTCTGTCCTACCATCTGGTTATTTGTTACAGTTCGCCATGGAAAGATCCACCATGCCAACAACAGGTAAACCATCTATTTCGATTAGGGCCATCTATACCATGGCAAAGTGTTAGTCAAAACCAGATGGTAATATCTATACTTATGGTGAAATTGGGGATGGTTTATGGCTTTATGGCATTGGTTTACCAACTGTTAAATAACATTAAATAACCAGATGGTACATTGTCCTACCATGTCCTACCAATTTTCCCGGAGTGTCAATGTGTCATGGCTTCTGTGGAACCCCGTTTCGGGGGACCAGACCTCGACCCATTGAGGTCGGAACATTTGTCCTCACAGTCGGCAGCGCAATCACTGCACGATCTGCAAGGTGACATGGACGTCCAGCAGAGCGAAGCAGGTCAAGAAGGGATGATGGATGAAGATGGATGAAGATGGATGAAGCACTTGTGGATGGGCTCATTGATCTCGAGTTGGGCTCACATCAACATTGACCTGAAGCGGACTTCGCCACTTCGCCAGCGAGAAAGGTCATCTCAGGTCTACGTCGGCTACGTCTTGCCGCGCTGGAATCATGGCTGACGAATCGCCTCCGGTGCAACATGGTGGTCATCAAGCTCGACCTTTGCTTTTCACATCTTTTCGCTGCCAAAGTGCAATCCGAAACGGAAAATAAGTTTTGAAGTCACCTGTCAAGACCATGCGGTCCTGGTCCTGACATTGAGCCACATCCAAAATCAATAGACTATTACCACTGATTATAGTACCACTTTTGGTAATAGTCTATTGATTTTGGACCAGTGGCTCAATGATGTGGCTCAATGTCAGCAACTGACATTGAGCCACTCTATTCCAAAAGTACCTTGCTGATCTTAGATCTTTTAAGGAGCAGGAAATCAGTTTGGATCAATGCCGTGAGTTCCACATCAGCGCGTTTTCGTCTAAAATTTTACTGTACCGTCGCAGGCAACGGGGCAGGAACTCTACAATTTCCTCTCGGAGCACTTTCAATCTGGGAGTGACCTGAGAGCAGATGGCGTTGTGGATGGAACCGGGCCTACTCTCTGGTAATTTGTTACAGTTTGCTATTGAAAAATGGCCATTTACAGTTGATTTACCCACTAAAAATTGTGTTTATTGATTTTTCATAGTTATGTTAGTTTACCAGAGGGTAAATCCATAGAAGTTGTTTTGCCACATGATTTGTGGTGGGTATGCTTAAGGCATTTCAGCCACACTTTCATGGTTTTTCAATCAGGTTCATGGTAGATTTCCCACCCAGGGGCTGTTTTCATGGGGGAAAAACACAAGCTGGGTTGATCTGTGATGTGATTCAATGTAACTGAATATGGGGGGTTCCATACATGGGGTATCCAGGATAATCCCTTTTTAAAATGGATAACCCCTATGACTCAGGTCCATATCAATCCACATCATGGGTCACTGTTAGCATGTAACTGTGATGTTCCCATGACATTCAATTACCCTCCGGTTATTTGTTACAGTTCGCCATAGAAAGATCCACCCATGCTATGAATAATTATAGGTAAACCATCGAACTAAATGGACCATCGAACTACCACGGCAAAGTGTAACAAATAACCAGAAGCTTTCCTGAGATTTCACTTGCCGCCCAATTGGAGGATGATCCCCAATTCACAGAATCTTGTAGGATGGGGTGACAGCAATCAACCAGTCATGTTAGCCCCAAAAATGGCATTCCACCACAGATTTTTAACAATCAACCAGACGCTGAGGCTATGACTTTCTGCGAAAGAATTGTAACGCCTTCACAGTCTCTCGATGTGTGGAGTTTCCGGTGGTTTTGTTGGGCAAAGGAGAACATACTCGCGAAGGAACCAGAGTTTTGTTTTGAACCATGGATCTCGACCAACCATTTTCTCGCAAGATATCCACATGAAATCATAATAAATCATAATATATATATATATATATACACATAGTCACATACATATACATATATGCATATATACATAGCATGTGGATGGGCTAAAGTCATTGACCCATCTTGACTCCATTTTGCCATGGGACAATGACCAACATTGTGGTCCACAAAGATGGCGCAGCTAGCGTTTTGAAGGTTCAAGGCAGTCCGGGTTCCTGTTTTTTTTTCGGAAATGGGTGAGCAAAAAATCAATCAGAAAATGAGATCACCTTATTCTTAGATTTGCTGAAGATGATTTGTTATTTTCTTCATGGGAAATCCACTTCTTGGGGAATCTATAGGGAATATGTTTTATTTTTTGGTGGTTCCTTAAGCAAATCCATGTATTTTGATATAAATTTATGAATTGGAAAATTCATCAGAATCAATCAATTTGATAAATCACATCTCGGATGAATTATAGTAGTTATGACTCATGACCTCACTTATTCGTCACTGGAATGATGCGTATCGTTCAAATTACTTATAGTAAGAGGAATCATCTCCAAATTGCTTTATGATCATCATAATTCAAGTTATTTTGGATGATTATTTCAGTAAATTTGGAGTTATGATCATCAATTAGTTCAGCAATTTTCAAGTTATTTTGAATCATCATTCAGCCAGAAGCTGGCTGAAACCGGACCCAAGGATTGCGCTTTGTACTTTCTGTGTTCCTCGGCGGCTTCCGTCAAGTTGTTGCGCTTTCGAGACTCTGAAGAGATCATGATACGCTACGCATTCGCACCATTTGTTCAATATTTACGAATCAATTAAGATATCTACGTACTGGTTGGTGGTTTGGAACATGAATTTTATGACTTTCCATATATTGGGAATCATCATCCCAACTGACTAATATTTTTCAGAGGGGTTGAAACCACCAACCAGTCTAATATGATCAGTAAGATTGTTGTTGTGAATCAAAATATCTAATATGTGATAATATATGCTCCACAGTAAGATATCGTTGTATTGAGCAGTACTATCATTAGATCAGTATCATTGTGTGATACAGTCTTTTTCATTGTCTACTAATATCATGAATACATGTCATGCTATCTCATACTGTTCAATGGCCATTTCAGGATCCTAGATTGGAGGTACCTACCATATATAAGGCCTATTTTTCAGGCCTATGTAAGGAAATATCCCCACAAACTATGGCCCAAAATATGGTACTAACGTACCTCCATTTTAGGATCCTGGAATTCCCATTGAACTGTAGCTAATGATTCAGGGGTTCTTAGGATGAACATAGCCATCGTAGATGCCTCGCTGGGACAATGCGTCGCTCGATCATGAAGCGTTTTCCCTAGCGGCCCTAGCTCTTCTCCAACTCGCCAAACGATTGAATGTGCTTTAGTTAAGATTCACGGTTGTTTCGTTTTTACATGGTACACCCTGGTAAATTAACTTGTTGACCCTGAAAATCACCCAGTTTTAACTAGTCTTCCAACCCCGATGACTGCCAGGGTCGAACTGTTAATTTACCAGAGGGTAAATTCAACATCTAGAGAACCATACTTTCCAGTGAACATGGGATCCTTTGGGACATGTCGAAACACGCATGACTTGTGGCCAGCGCGAACCAGCACATCTTCCTAATCATTTGGGAAGGACGTACCCTTGATCATTGTCATATCCATATACATGCAATAACTGGTTGGTGGTTTGGAACATGGCTTTTATTTTCCATACTATATGGAATGTCATCATCCCAACTGACGAACTCCATCATTTTTCAAGATGGTTATTGCACCACCAACCAGATAAAGTGTGCTCAAACATGTTGTTTGTTGCATCTACAAATCCCGGATTCCCATCCCATCATATGATCGTTGGAACAGCATCTCAGTCACACACCTCTTAAATATTCTTAAATATCATCTACTTTTATGCTTATACTGTATCTACAGATATTTAAATATATATATATATACACCTAATTAATCATAATTATATATGTATATGTATATATATATATATATATCTACACACAAAATGATTTGCCAGAATATCCCCAAGGAATTTTCGTTTTGGCCCCCAGGACCCCCCCGTCTCGTTCAACGCACCCCCCGTGCTTTTCGACTCGACGAGGTGAGAAGCGTCTGGATTTGCGCTACCGTGCCATGGAGAAGTTGGGCTGGATGGCCGAAAGCCGGGGGGCCGTCCCGGGACCGGGAAAGAAACGGCCGTTGAGCGGCGAAGCGGGTTTTGGGGTTGGGTAAGGCACGGCATTGGGGATGGGTTGTAAAATGCTGGGAAATGGACTGTTTATGGACTATGAATTTTGGGTAATTCATTGGGATTGAGATTGTTCATGGTAATTATAGTGATGATAACAATAGTATAATACTCTCTGGTAACTTGTTACGGTTTGCGAACTGGAAAATCACCATGTTAAAACGGTAAAACAATGTAAATCATCATGTTTATAATATTATGTCTATAGGCCATTTTCCATAGTTATGTTCAATAACCACAGGGTATATTCTATGTGTACCTGGATCAAGTACGAAACATGTGAGTACTTGGGTCACTCGAATAACCACCAAAAATGGATGATAAAGATATGGATAAAAGGTTTACCCTCCGGTAAACTAACAGTTTGTTATGGAAAATCACCATCTTTAACAGATAGATCAACTATGAATGTGCCATGTTCAATAGCTATGTTAAATAACCGGAGGGTATACAAGCAACAAAGACTGCAAATTTGGTCAACACAAAATAGAGGCAAACTAGGTCTAAACTTCGCCAAACATATGCTTTCGAAAATGGCATTTCTCAGCTCAGTGCGACGAGCCTGAGCTGTTGGTGAGTTGCGATCAACATTCGTCACTAAGAGGAATATAAAACTCCGTCGTCACTAAGGATATTAAAATAGCTGGTTGATGGATGTTTAAACCCGTTTAAACCCCCCAGGCCCCGATCATTTTTTGATAAAATTTCGGTAACTTGACCCATCCCCATAAGGAGCACGGCGGCGTGAGGTCAAACAGGGATTTTGCATTCCATCAGCGAGGGCGAGTGTCTGGGCGAGTTTTGTCATGGATGGCCACTGCTTTAAGGTGGGTAGTCATCAACCAGAGACCCTCTGGTAAACATACCAAAAACGATGGAAAATCATCATTTTGAATAGCTATGTAACAAATTACCAGAGGGTAATGGGTTAAGAATTCAAACATGACCTGTTGGATTCAGGACCTGTTGACGACTTGGGAAATAGAAACGGTTGTGAAGCTGTGTGGGCGCAGTCCTTTGGTCTCTCAGACATTTCGTTGGGCACTCCGACTGCTGGGACATTGGATATCGATCGCATTGCTGGATCACATGATTTTCAGGATGCACCCAGCTAAATACCTGTGCGATTTCGTCGAATCCACGAGTGGAGCATCCCCAAGTCATCATCCAGATATTCAAGTAAGCCAGCTCAGGTTCTTTACATTCTACATATTCATACATATTCCATCTACTCATATCACAGACTTGGATGATGGGAAAAAATTACAGGAAAGCCCTATATTTGATGGTAAAAACCATGGTTTCCGGTCAAGATGTTCCCTTAAACCAATCCGTCTACTCATATCTACTCTAAGATGGTTCTAGATCATGTTCATATTGGGGTCCTGGGGGGTCAGCATCTTCAACCAGAAATGGATGGGTTTCCCTGAAGAAAGTTCTCCAAGACGACCAGAAAACCGGACCAAACTTGGAAAATCTGTCACTTGACTTGTCACTTGACTTGTCACCAGAAACTAAAGATATTTCCGAGATTTCAATCCGCTTTAGGCTGGCTAGTTCACATGGACTCCCCAAAAAAGGTCCGCGGGATCCAACACAACCATTTGGGCTTTGTCTGAAAATATTGTTGTTTTTCCGACAATTGATGGCAACTTTGGAAGATGACCATCATGATGATCAGCCATCAACGTTTGGGGATACCCTATATATTTTCAGAGGGGTTGAAACCACTAACCAGTTTCAGATAAATAGCCATTTCTTCGTTGCGTCCTTCATTGATTCTTTGCATGTCCTACATGTCTTGTCTGTCGCCATCTTGAGATACACTGCGAATCCTGAAGCCGAAAACTTCGATGTGGAGGAGACCATGGGGCTGATG